GTTGAGAGAGGCATTGTGTAGGTACAGCATACTGCTTACATATACACTTAACTCACTGACCAAGCCAGAGCTTGAACCCAGACCTTTCGATCAAAAGCTCAGCGTACTAATCACAAGCCACCGCGTCTCAAACAAAAAGTGAAGCCCAACCGTTTTTGCTCGAGCAAATTAAAGTAAAAAGTCAACTTACCCAACATCATTTCTGGCGCCATCCAGTACGGGGAACCCACCACAGTGTACCTAAGAAACAACAGTGATTTACTACTTTATAGTTAGATTCCGGAAGTAAATATAATAGTTAGCATTCCGAATTAAGAATCATTTTCTTTAGATAAGAACCATGACAAAAGCATCACACCTTTTCTTTGGAGGAGGCGGCTTGTTGCCGGTAGGGCTTCGTGTTTTTCGTCCTGAAGAGGGAGGTATGGTCGATGATATCTGATCAAGAGGCGATAAGGGTTTGTCTCTGACCACACGAGCCAAGCCAAAGTCGGCCACAACCACTGACATATCGCCTGACTCCTGCACATGATGAAAGAAGGAGGATTGTAGTAAAACTAATACATGGAAACTTGTGCAAACTCGATCTGAGTAACTGCTAAACACAACTAAAAAAGTGGGCCTTAAAGCTGCTCTAATAATATGTTCGTTTGAGAGAAAAGGGATAGTTTGGTTGTGCGACTCCCGTGAACGCTATGTATCGAAAGCAATCCCCGTTGTTATTTCTTTATCACGTTTTGTGATTGGTCCAGAAAAATCGTGTTACCCTCTCAACCAATCAGATGCAAAAGAAAATCGTTTTACACGCTTCAAACAGTTCGCATTTCATCACTGTGATTTTTTATTGGCTTTTGCTTTCTTTCTTCTGATTTGCGGCCGTAATATCGTTAGTTTAGGTTATACGATACTCCTTCTGAGAGCGCTCCTGATGGTCCTTGGTCCTTCCTCGATGCAATCAGCGTAATTGTTTTCCTCAGCCAATCGCAAACTTCCTAATATTTCCAACACATGATTCCGGTTGCAGAGTTACTACGTTATGTCTGAGCTGGTGACACAGCTTTGGTTTTCGTTTAAAATATTGCATTCATATGGAGAGGAAAATAGGAACAAAAAAATCTCCTTTACAAACAAATCATCAAAACCGCTAATTTACCTCGTCCGTTTCAACCAGGCAATTCTTTGAGGTTAAATCTCTGTGCATGACGTTCATTGAATGGAGGTAAGCCTGGCAAAAGGATTGAAATAAAGGAGCTAACAAAAACATTTCGCTATAAATAAAAACAAATGAACTGAAAAAATGAATTATTCTCATGACCCTTAGTAAAAGTACACCATTGAGTATGGACTTACAATCTCCAGAGAGTAATAAAGGTAAAGTCTTCCAAACTTTACATTTGCACATGTAAATTAGAATCTGCTTTAATTAAAAGGGTTTATATGTTCTAGTGCATGATCTGAAAGCCTGTTCTCCCTTGATTGACAAGCAAGCATTTCTTCCTTGACTAGTTGTGGTACTTTGGCATTAAATCACCTTTTTAAATTCTCATTACTAAACTTCTAGACAAAGTATCAGGATATTAGCATTACAATTCATAAATCAGAACTTCTCCAACTCACCATTCCAGCTGCTATATCTTTGGCAAATCTAATCCTCTGCAACCACGGCAATTGTTTACCCTACAAGGAAACCAAACCTCTGAAATAAGTTTGAGCACAAATTAATACCATCACAAATAGAGGTTTAAACACCTGAGTTCAGTCAATACAAAACTGGACCATGTGGAAATGAGAACATAAGCACATAAAAATTCTCACAATAAATCACAAGGTCCACACATATCTTACAAGTAAGTTCCACCTTTCTTCCTAAAGTCAGTAGAACAAATAACAAAATTTCTTACCTTATCCTTTAGAACTTGGCGCACTGTACCACCACCAATATACTCTGCAAAACATCAATGTTTTAATCAACAAAGACCTTATCAACTCCTCCTGACTTTCCTTACATTATAAATGTATTTAGCAAAGGGCTTACCAGTAATCAAGTTCAAGGTCTGGTCTCTGTACAAAATGCCTATGAACCTCAGTACATTAGGATGATTCAAACTCTTTAGCAATGCAACCTGAAAAAGATTCAAACTATTATTTTAGGAGCTAACAGACTAGCCCCTCTTTGGTACACCCCCTCTCTAAAAAGGCCCATCTCTAAAAAGGCCCCTCTCTAAACGCCCCCTTTCTAAAAAGCCCCCTCTCCAAAAAGCCCTCTCTTTACAAAGCTTCTTCTCTCAGAAGCCCCCTTTGCAATGCCTTCTTTCTGATAAGCCCCCCTCTAGCACCCTCCCCTTATCACCTAAAATGGGTTTCCTATGGTTTTGAAGAGGGCAGCTGTTGCTGAAAATTTGATGGCATTGGGCATCAAGTTTCTGGATAGTTTATATATACTGTGCCTGCTAAAAGCACTTGTCCAACCAAGCTTTATAAAGAAAATGTAACTTACCTCCTTCAAGAAGCTCACTTTAGCTGTTTCATCATAATTTAGAAGCTCCTTCATCACCATTACCTCTCCACTCTGTCTCTGTGTCACCTTGGAAAAAAAAACAAAGGCACAATTACTATGCATCCATGAAAGAATGTACTAGATAAGGTCTTAATTTAAGAAAAATATGTATGACATCCTGACTGAATTTTACGTTTGATTGTGAGAGAGTAATCCTGAAAAAGACTGTTTTGGAAATAGCAACTGACATTTCGACCAGCCAAGCAGAAGCCATTATCTGAGTCAGGTTAACTGAATGAAGAGTTGACTCAATGACTCATCAAGGTCATCATTGAGATCCTTCTGGTTGTTGCAATGTCAGTCACTGTAATAGACACTGATCCCTTTTGGAACTGCCTTTCTTCAGACAATCACACAACTGTTCAGATCAATTATTACTCCTGAGATAAAGTCACTTGCTGCATACCTTCCTCACTTGTCCAAAAAAGCCTTTTCCAATCACATCTCCAAGGACCAAATCACAGGGCCTGAAGACCCTTTATAAGAAGTCAGTTATATAGCATTAATTTCCTTTAGATCTCTATGTAACACGTCTGTCGTACTGAAAGTTACACACTGAGTTCTGTAACTTACCCTACTCCCTGACAAGAAAAGATTAAAAAGATGTTCAATATATCTGTACTATGTATTTGATGGGTTTTAGAAATGATTTTTACTAATTTTGATTTTCTCAATATGACTGATGAGTCAAAAGCAGTCAGTCGTAGGAAAACAAGACAACCAATCCTTTCACTTGCTCATGAAACTTAAGAACAATTTCTGGAAAAAAAAAACATTTAAATAAGCAAGTCATGCAATAGAGTTAAGCCTGCAAGACATAAAAAAGGGAAGTGCTTTGGACTACAGTTGAAAATTGAAAATTTTCAAGGAGTTAAGCTACAAAGCATTTTGACTAAACCACAAATTGAAGTCAAATGTACCTAATGTAACCAGCAAAACCTGAATTGGGCTGAAAGTTTTTTTGAGGAAATTTTGGCAAATAAATAAAGAGATAAATGAACACAACATTGCTGAGTATTACCTGTTGGCAGCAGTCTCTGACTTGAATGACTGAGCTCTGTGAATTGCCGATCGTAACTTGAAATTGTCAGACAATGAATTACTATTGAAAAAAAATAAACCAAGGAAAGAAATTAGACACCAAAAAATTATCAAGGGCTTGTCCAGATCAAGAGAAAAATAAACAACCAAAATTTGCTCTAATGTTGTTCAGAGGTACAAAAACGCACAACCAAGCTGAGCATCCACCCTTGAACTTGCAAAAGAGATTTAAAAGAGGCTTATTCAGCTGAAAAAGATGTGGTTAAAATATAAAAGTTCATTTTAAAGCTTAAAGAAGTTATCTTGTCATCATTAAATTTTTTTGACTAGCTCTCAGGGAAAACCAGACCAAAGAATTACCTTCTTGGAAGTGAATTTGATCGCATAGCAGGCTTTGTTATCTTCTTTCCACTGGCATCTTTCAAAGAATCTCCCTCCCCATTAATGAGTGGGGGGTTTTCTGAGGATGCTGACATTTGACAACGCCGTAGTTCCCTTCTGGAGAATAGAGATATTGACCTGTTACGAAAGCTTTTATCTTCAGCAGTTGCCCCAGATTCACCATCAGAATCAACACTGAGTAGTCTGCACTGTTTGGGTTTCAGGTCAAGTCCACTTGCATTTCGTTCAAGGGTAATTTCAGTGATCTCATTTGACTGGGACGTCAGGAGAGAAGCAACCTACAGGGGTTAAAAAGAAATTGCATCTTAAGTTTTCCAAATATGATTGACATTTGTTTCCTGTTTACAGCCTAGAGTTGAACTTGTGTTCAGCCAAAACCCAAACAACTCTTGCCGGCATTAAATGACACAGGATATCCAACTGAAAAACCATAAGAAGCTTAATTTTTCTAAGTCTGTTACAACCATACACTTCATTCAGGCTACTTCTTTAATAAGTCATTCTCAGCCCCCTTCTTCTTTGCAAATATAAGGAATTCTCTTGTTGTATATCCAGTATGACACATATCCTTAGTGCAAAGTTTCCCTACAACAGGTTTCACAATATCTTAAAAGCAAATAGCTAATTCTAAACCACCTCAGATTTTGCCTGGTTATCTAAACATTTCCCAATTGACCTCACTCACTGCTCACTAGATCAATTACCAGTTCTTTGTTTACCTTATCAATAGTAGAAGGAGACACAAAAACTTTGTTGACCTCCAGTACCACATCTCCAACCATGACATTTAATGTATCACAGCTCTGTGACTTTTTGGTTGTTTTAAACCTTGTGGTGATAAAACATTTCTAATTTCATATATTAAAGTACAGGTAAGACTACCAAGTACAAGTATTTCAGGACAATCATTATTATCATCATTATTATGTTCTCTCTGTTTACCTGTTGAAAATATAAATAGACTGAAAAAATATATTTGACATTCATCCAGTTGTTTACATTTTCTTCAATACAGGTTTAAGCCTCTCAAAAAGTTCACTTTCAACATAATTTTCAATTTTGTACCATTGTGCATACCAAATTTAAAGTAAATTTCAGAGAAAAAATAATAAACAAAAAGTACCAAATATTTTAAACCTCCATAATCTGTTTCACAATTTGTAAATACCACATGGGTATTAAAATAGTAGACAAGTTATATACCATAAAAAGTTTTATACTTTGCACCCAAAAAAGATATTCGAGATTACACACAGGTAGATAATTTATTTGTATAAATCAACAAGCTATATTGAAGCAGAAAAGTTGTGTGACAAAATAAGAATACCCTTTGATAACAAGAGACGTCTCAGGTTCTTTCTCCAAACTTCTAGATTTTATAGACCTCTTTCTTTCCCTCTTCACAATTTCTACTTCAATTTTATGATTGCTCAAAGCTCCAGGAGTCAGATTTAAGTGATGAACAGCATGTAAAGAAGGATTCCACCAAGACTCTTCTTTTCCTTTCGTGAAACATGTACAGCTAGGGTTAAAAGTATTTCAAATATGGTAAGAAAAAATGTTTGGATTATTGTTGCACTGTAATACAATTATCAAAAGGTACATGAAATTTTTTTTTGTCTCTCAGGGTGAAACTAAGAGAGGCTTCCAAATAATACCCCATACCTGTGTTTTTGAGTAAACTTTTTGTTTATCAGAGGAAGGAGAGAAGAGGAAAGCTAAATAGAGCATTAGTTATGAGTAGATACTTGTATAGAGAATGATCTTTGAGTCACTTTTCATGTACTCCAATATTTGCAATTTTACTCTACAACTACATAGACTAAATCACATGAAACATAATACCATGTCAGTCTATGTTGTTCAAGAAGGACGTAATCATCTTCTTCTCCCAAAAATTGTTGACAGTTTCCACATGAAAAACATTCAGTGTGGAATTTATGATCAGCTACAACCTGATTGAAAAAATTTAGAAGAAACATATTCAATACAAGAAGTTTATTCTATCTTTCCATATGTGTAACTACATGTTCATGTATTCAACTTCTGAGTGCCATAGACTTGGTGGCACTTACTGTAAGAGGTAATAGTACACCTTGATGGAGATTGCAAGTCACCAACTTGAAAAATTTTGGTTTAATATACCAAGTTTTCAATCTTTGGTACTGCCCTTTCAGTTATCAGTAATTAAATGATTGATTTCTGTTCACTAACCAATACTGATATTAAACAAAAAGATGCAAATTACATCATTTTGTACACATTAAATTCTACTGACTAGTTACAGAAATCCTGTTCTACACCAAAATATTTTTTTTAACTCAGCAGGTGAAGAAGTTATAACTTCCTGTTGTTGTTATAAAAAATGCATATTAATTGAAATTAGGGAAAGTTCCTGAAAACTGAAATGGCACAATCTGTAGCATTCCTGGACAAAATGAAAATTTGATGTACATTCACTCTATGATGCGGAAAATTATAAAGATTAAGAAGTGTTAAATCGGTAAATTAAGAAATATACCAAACATTAGCGATAAATTGCAATGGAAAGAGTTGAATCAGTGAATGAAGCTCAAATGAAATATTCGCCCCTCTACAACGGAGAAAACTATTGCCAACAATGTACGAGCGGTGGATGAATGGTTTACAAGATAATTAAGACCACAAAAGCAGTATCAGATTTACACTCAATTGAGCAGACTTAAGTAACAACACGAATTAAATGTAATACGATAGATTATGGCACACACCACAACAAGTCCACTAATTTTTTGCTCGCAGACGTGACACTTAGATCGGAATTTTTCCGTGTAGTCCTTTTTGCAGTAAAGCGTCTTTCCACGGGCATAATACGTAGATGAAAGTTGCCGTTTACACTCTGAACACCTAAAGAAAGATTGTGTTAGGGAAGAGGCATCCGGAAATAAAGGAATTCAGTTTTCCGACGAAAGAAAACTTACTTGAAGCAATTGCGGTGCCATTTGCTGCATAACGCTTGTATGGGTGTATCATCCTTTTGTAGCAGACTACTACAACTTACGCACACTGCGTCTTCCATGCGAAGCAAAATGAAATATATAGGGCAGACTCAAGAGAAGAGTAAATGCGTCATTGTATAATATTGTCTACCCGGTAATTTTTTTCCCCAACGTATTTATATCCTTGGTTGCCCCCTACATTTTGTCGACGGGTGATATTTTTCGCACTTCAATCAGCAGCCTGGCCTTAAATCAGCGGCCTGGTTGCTGGGCATTCCTCGATCACCACGGAATCCCAGGAACTATGAACAAGAGAAAAACTGAAAACAACAACCACTCAGCTGAGTATCAGAAGTTTTATAAATAGCGGAGATGAAAAAAGGGCTATTTATAATGATGACTGCTTTGAATCGGAAAACTTGTGGCAGCGATGGGAAAGGAAACGGTAATCATGCACCTGGAACAATTAAAGTTGGACTAAGGGACGGGGATCAAGTTATTCGTGAAGATCAGCTGTAGCGTGCGGGTACAGCTGCACTTTCCACTCAAAATCAAGAAGAACATGCAAGTATGAAAATCTTATTTTTTCGCAGATATCACAGTTGCCGAGTGCTCTATTTTAATTGCCTTCTCGAGTCCGATCTTCGTTCCTCCGCTCAGTTCCCAGACAGTGGCTTATTATAATGCCTAAGCCCGCAAAGAAAGCAAGTTAAGGGGATCCGTTTTTGCGAAAAGCTCAACACGCTCGTCATAGGGGTTTGTTTCTCGTCGGTACCGATCTTTATTCAGATAAATTAGGTACAAAGTGTCACATTGGAAGGCCAAACATGAAAGGGATAGAATATAATTTTCAGTCGGTTTACCATCGGATTGGTGCCAAAAGAAAAACGCCGCTTTATGCGTAAAAAGCTGGTATTGGCGAAAAAAAAATGAAAATGCTCATAAAAAATTTGCTTCCTAATGTGAAGGGAATATTTCTTCAACGTCAACTGTGACAAAAGGAATGAATAAGTAACTGACCCAATCTCCATCTCCTGGGACTGATGGTTGGCCCCTCAATGAAATCTGAAAAGTCACAGCGAAACTGGAATAGCCGTAAACTGCAAAATGATTTATGAGAACAAAAGCATCCCCACAAGTACGGTCATCCTCCCACCCCGGACAAATGTGTTCCTGGTAAAGTTCAAAACTATTTATAGCGAGGGATCGAAGGATATTCCGGGGGAGGTGCACCTTGGTTCATTTTCTGCGTCGTCACTCCAGAGGGCTCCACAACAACAACTGTAGTCGCCTGATAAAAACAAAAAAAAACAAACAGAGAAAAAATTATCAAATTCATCTGTTGACAGAGAACGACGTTATGCAAAGAGCTTTCGTAACCAACGGTCATAGAATGTCAAAGAAGCCGTTCTTGAAATGTCACGCAATGTAAATCCTACTCCAGTCCTCACCACAAAAAGTTTCTCTTTTGACTGAGTGAGGAGGGGGGGGGGGTGGTTATGGGGGGAGGGGGGGGTTTGACATCCCAAGAAACAACTGTACAACTGTCTAGGAAACATGTCACTCACGACTTGTCCAGTGCAACAGACTCCCATGCAACCAATGATAGAACCACCCAGCGCAAGGAGGGCTCCGATGCCGTCCAACACGAAGATAGCAAACATACAGCGCTGGGCAACTGTTACTTTGTCGCAGTCATCCACTGAAAATTGAATTGCAAGAATGGTAGAATAAGGTTAATCAGTTATTTCAATACATTTACCATTGCATATAGGGTCTGATGTATTTTATTTTCTAATAACAGCACTGGCCATAAAAGGAGCCGTAATGTCCGTCGACATACTAGCTCGTCGAAGTGTTGTTTGCTGTAACGTCAACCTTTCAATTTAGTTGGCTTATTGGCTCTTCGCTTAAATAGTGTCAAAAGTTTTTGAGTATTTCTCTTCGATGCGCAAATTTCTCTCAAGATGGAAGAAAAAAGCAAAAAAAATCATTTGGGTTAATGAACAAAATATCAAATTGAGAAGGCTACACCTTACAGTAAGCAGCGAGGAAGGCGTAGATTCAGATCAGATAAAAGCGATCGATTTGAAAATTTCACGTTATGCTTGTTGCTCAAATTGAAGTTACATGAAACCTATTTTGTACATCCTCCACTCACAGGAAGTCACCCTAGGGCAACCTCCTTTAAAAAGACGCGAATGCTCGTCGGACATTATGTGTTAGAAGCTTACTGTTCATTGGGACATCATACTCTCCACTGCAGTGGCATGTTCCCTCCGCATTCAAGCTGCAGTGTTCTTCCATCAACCCTTTTAGAATGGTGAGTAAGGTAAGAAGCCCAAATGAGACTCCGGTCCCAGCCGCACACACAACAAACCACAGGATGTCTAGGACAAGGAAGAACGCCATCTGCAAAAAGTAACGAGTAACATAAAACTCCCTCTTTCTTTCCACTGCGATTATCAGAGAACTTATTACTTGTATTAACTCTCAGCAGTATCATTTATTTGCCCGTGATCGCCCCATTTTATTTTTAAATGGCATCTCAGCGTGAAGAAAAAGCCAGATTCATCAGTCAATCAAATTGCATAGGGACAATATATCATGTAAGCTCCCGTCAAGTGTTTCGATGCCAAGGTAAAGAAGATTTAAAGAACCCTTAAAGGTGTTCAAAGTTGTAAGACTGGTTAATCCAACGTCATTGAAAATCTTGTGGTTTTTTAGTTTCCTTTTTTTTTTCCAGGGAAATTTGATATAGGGTCTCTTGCAACTGTTTCAGACAAATTGTAATCCTTCCCCGGCCACAGAACATTTGCATTAAAACGATTCTCCGCACTTTTTTTTCCAGCTAAACACTCGCTCAAAACAGAGAAAAGGAAAACAGCAAACATGACAGAGATCAAGACTATGATATAAACTGAGCTCAGTTTATAACCTCTTTATGAGATAAAATAAAGAAAAATTTTGAAGCGGCTTCAATAAGCAGGTTTTTTTCCTGTTGCATCTCTGAACGGTAAATAAGTTTTTTTTTTTAATCTACTCTAAATCACTCACAGCTGTTTTGCTTCTTCTCAGCCACGTTATGAGACCAAACACTGCACAAAGTAGTAACTGAACAAAAGAGAAAAATATGTCAATACAGCTTCACTAATAATGTTATGTGAGTTGAAATGGTGGCGTTGCGGCAAAGTATAATAGAACTAGCTGAGCTACGTTAAACTAAATTCGTTGAACTGAACGTAGAATTAAATAGGCAGTAACTGTATATTTTTTATATTTTTCTCGTATAGTTCAAAATAGACGAGAATTCTTTATGTAACCAACGTTTTCCGTTGTAGTTTTCCTGAGAAAAGTTTTCACACGGTCTTTAACATGGCAAAATTTAGGAAAATGTATTGAGAGACTAGCTACCTCTTAACTTTATTTCAGCCCTGCCACCCCCTCTGATCAATGAAAGTTTGGATGAATGTACATTTAACTCTTTTTATGAACAATTTTAGATTGAAAAACATCATTATTGGGGTTAACTGGCGTCCAGTATTGAAAACGTAAAGCAGATTCAAACCGTTATTTTTGTTTACCAATTTCAATTGACGTTTTACAATTCCTTTTTATTTGATAATCAAGACACACATGAATAGATGCCATACCCCGAATCCTGTCCAAAGTCCAGATCCATGTATCCCTCCTATCAAAGCATAAATCGCTCCACATATCATGTCGGCGACTGCGGTAATTAAAATGAAAATTGACATGACGCCAGCAGCCATCGCCTTGCCACGCTCGACAAGATCAGTCATTTTCGCTCTCAAGAAATAATCGTTAAGTTGTGAGCTTAGCAACGAAAGCACAAAACGTCAGGAGAACTGTGAATCTAAGGAAAATAATTCACGTTCACAACTGATGAAAAACAGTTAGCGCGAAAGTTAATAAACTTTCTGTGAGCTGTGGCAGACTGCCTCACAATTCTTGACCACAGTGTTGACCACAGGATCCCAGGCTCTCTAGTGGCCGTAGATGTACTGTCAGTAACTAAAATTTACAAACGCCAAAGTGTGTCATTTTGAAAATAATCCAGATAAGAATGACGTACTTGCTTGTGTCTTGCTGTAAGGCTCGCTTCTGCAACTGCTTTGAAACCGTTTGGCTTCTTAAATGATACTTCAAATTCAAACGGTCTTCACACTGCCTGGGTTACCTGTGTCTTTGCTTTGGCGCCCTTTTTTAAGGGTTAAAATATCTCTGTGAGGAAAGAAGTAGGGGGGAATGTCTGTGTGGCGAGAGAATGTATCGCTTTTAACGAACTCTTTCAAAATGCACTTTTTAAAATAGACAGAGAAATAAGCGGGGAGGGTTTATATTGGGTAGTTGCGAAAAGATTATCTTGCACCTGACCTCTTAAACAACAACCGTACATGTTTCTGATGCTTTGAGACCAGAGTAGTGCGAGAGAAACGTTGTAGGCAATCATAAAGCTTAATACTCGTGGAATCTTCCAATACTTCATGGAAATCAAATAATTCGATCTTTTTTCTCACAATACGATTTAGATATACAGCTGTCGTTCGGTTAGGTGGGAGACTGCGGCGTTATCCAATGAAGTCAAACACTTACAAAGCGTTGGTTGTAGACAAGTAAGAGAAGTTCTTTATTGAACATAATTCACACCTTTTTACAACGTTCGGGATGTCATGATCCTTTAAACTCAAAAGACCCAAACTTCTTTTTGTCTGAGAGACAGCAAAAGACTCATAACGTTGACTAGTTGACTTGTAATCTCTTAAGCCTTCACACAGATGCAAACTCCTAAAATGTGCAGGTGATACAAGCCTCGCATAGAAACTCGTTCCCAAGGCCATCGCTCTACCTCCCTGGAGGAAGGAAGAGACAGAGGGCCCTGAGGCAGAAGTTGTAAAACCGAGCACCGAGACAAACACGAAAACTGCAGCCGTCGTCCATTGTCAAAGCGCGCTGGCCAACTGACTTTCGCTGTGTTCAGAATGGCTGTACATCAAATACACTGAACTGTAGGCAACTATAAGTATGATATATGTTAAAATTTAAGCAGCGAAATTTTTTTGGAATTTGTGCATTGAACTTTTAAGTGCATTGTATTTCCCCTCTCCTGTCTCCTTTCCTTTTTTTTTTCCGCTAGCGGAGACAAGATCACTTAGTAACCTGGCTTTTCAGGGTATTCTGGTGGAGCTTGACCTTGTTGTTGAGTCGTCATCACCACAGCAGGCTGTTGCACAACAACTACGTTGGTTTCCTGGTTAAATAAAAATGTTATGAATTCGGATAAGTACAACTGGGTGCTCTAGTTTTCCGGCTAGGTGAAACGAGATTCGAACAGGTAGACAAGACCACTTCAGGACTAGCCCACGGATTTTTCCACCGGGAAAAATCAAACTCTCGGGAAGTTACTACCTGGTGTTACCCATACAGGTAAGTGCCACCAAACAGATTATGGTTTTCTTATGTATTATGCCGTGTACTGGCATGGTTAAGTGCTTTGGTCAGAAAAAAGTTTGAAAGTCAACAAAAAGTTACGAGGGTAACTTATCAACATCCCGTAACTAGAGTGATTTCGTAGTTTTTCTATCACTTTGATGATATTTTAGGTTTCTCTGAATCATCTTGACAAAGATTGAAACCGAGAGATACTAGACTTCCATGACTAGACTTCCGAGCTAACGTTACATTTACTAACATAACACCACATTACATGAGATTTTGGTATCCTATTAAATGAAACCGCAAAAGTAATGAAACAAGTTTGAACCTTGCATAATTAATCAATTAACAAGGAAATTGATGTTTCACAACCAAGACGAAATTAAACTCAGGTCTATTGAAGTTTTAATATTTAATAACTAAGCTGCGTGACTTACAGATTTGGCGCAGCAGGTTCCCATACAGCCAATGATAGAGGCAGCAAGAAGCAAAATGGCTCCGATGATGTTAACGAACGTCATGCAGGCAAAACAGCTTTCAATTGTATTGATGTGACTGCATTTGTCAACTGTTGACAAAGAAAGTACACAGTTAGAGCACAAAAGTTTATAATGGCCACTACGCATGCCTTAGTGAGCATGCGTTGTTTACGTAAATGCTGTTTCATTAATTTCAGACCCTAAAATGTCTTGACGAAATTGAGAAAACAAGGCCAGAAGACTTTTCGAGATTGGAAAAGTACAAGCGAACTTTGATACTAAGACTTGCGAGCAACTGCTAATCACAGATGGAAGCAATTTTTTTTCATATGTGCTGAGTCGCCTCTGTTAATGTAGCTCCATCACGCCTATGATCCACGGGTCGATTCTCTAGTCCTCCCTTTGTCTCATCAATTCCCAGGTTTTTTCAGCTTTCAGAAATTGCCGTTACATCCAAGCATTAATAAAATTCTGTGTTCCTCAAACATTTTCTTGAAAACTTGCTAAAAGAGTCATGTGCTTGAAGTGGGGTGCCTTGGCAGCTAATGATAGCTGTAAGAGTTGTCGCTCAATACCAAGAGCATTTCAGAGTTTTCGTTTTACCGACCTGGGATTGGAACCTTCTTCTCAGCATGGCAAACGCACTGGTCTCCTTGTTGTGCGCATTCTGACTCCACCACCTTTCGGATTATGTGCCAGATAAGCCAGGCAATCAGGCAGATAATCACGAAAACAATGGTCACAATTTGCATTAGAATGCTCAGTACCAGGTAACCGATGAACTGAAATTAAAGAGCAAATTCATCAGTGACTTTCCTGAAAGGACTTAGAGCATATTTTTCCCTGGGAAAGTAAAGACATTGGCACACCCAGCAACGTGAGGGAAATAGGGAGTGAAGCGGGGAGGGGTGGGGGAAATAGGGAGTGAAGCGGGGAGGGGTGGGGGAAATAGTGAGTGAAGCGGGAGGGGGTGGGGGAATAGGGAATAAAGGGGTAGAGGTTGCATTTACAACACTCTCTCCTGACCTTTCCCAGAAAAGATTGCCTTAGCAGAAATGAAAACACTCTTCGCTGCTCATAATTACAAACTTCGTTTTCACCGTTGAAAACCGAAGAAAAAGATCTCGACAATGTAGCCTTATAATCCACAACTAAATCAGTAGATTAATAAAAAAAAAAGAATATTTGTGCTTATAGGGGTGCTCAATGTTATAGTGAAAAAATCAATACAATATTCCTGAAATGTTCTCTCACCGCTCCTTTGCTCAGTTTGAACCATGTCACCAGTCCCAGGATGAAAATGATTATGTGCTGTAAACAAATTGAATAAAAAGTGTTAGAAAGATGAAGAAAAAAACTGGACAAGTTTTAACTGTAATTCGGTTTTTACGGAGAAAAAGGAAAAACTTCCTCAAAAAAAGCCGTTAATTAATCATAATCTAGGAAAAACATTTCCGCTTTTTCTTTATCCTTGTCTAGTTACGTTTCATTCTTCATATACATGTACCCATGTTTTTTCGTCTTTGGAACAGAGAAGCAGTTATTTTAACCATTCCGACTCGCAAATTGAGACCAATCAACAAAATAACAACTCATTCGACAAAAAGTGATCCACTTTCAGCTTTCATAGAAAAAGTGTCTCTGAAATGAACACTTTTCAGTTTATTTTCAACGTAAAAGGCATTAAATATTAACATCAAGAGCTAACTAAACTCGTAATTGAGGTACATAAGTTCTAACTTGAATAAACCGCTCTGGTGTATACATTATGTCCTAAGCGATCACCAATTCAACGGGAAACCTTCTCTTCTAGACCAAATTCGTTTGATTTGCGGAGATTTCAATAAGTGTCCGACACATGATTATACAACAGCCTTACATTTGACAAGAAAATATTTCGTAGTAGCCATTATCGAGATCAGAAGGAAGAATTATCAGCTTCCACTAACCATCACAGAGTAAACAGTGTCAACTTATTGAAATAAACAGTGTTAAAAAGGCCATTGTAAATTTTTTTTTAGAAAGCAATCAACACGCAGTGATGTGATTTAATTAGCATAACCTAAAAGGCTGATTTTGCATAGATATGGGTCATTTTGCATATACATTAGTGAAGCAAATTGTTTTGAAATATTCCATTTTAGATATATTTTCATGTTTGGAAAGAACAATGAATATTTGATTTAGGATAAACGACCGACATTCGCGATTGCTTTGTGGAAGGAATAAGATGAGAGGAAAAAATAATTCTAAGCTGGCTCACTCAGCGCTAGTCGACTGAGAGCCTCATTTTGAATTGCGCTGTAAGTTTACAATTCCTAGTAAGGGCGTTGCTATGCAATATTTTTTAACTGCGTACTTGTGGTGTAAAAAAAACCCAATCGCGGGGGCAATTTCCGAACAGTCTACAAATCTAGCAGTGAAATTACTCATGTTTGGTTGTACCAAAAGAATTTTGATTTTCTGAATTAGTATCTGGGAAATACTTATAAAAAACACTTCCATGAAGAAAAAAAGAAAAGGATTACAGTTGACTCGCGGTATCTTTATGACTTAAGCAATCGAATCTGAATATTCTTTGATTGAAAGTGTGTCTTGTTTGTGGTCGAATTATCTACTTAAACAGACGCTCGATCATAAGCCTGTATTCAAGAAAGTGGCCCAGTATTCGAAGAAAAATGGCTTTTATGTTCTCTGAATATGAAACAGTCTGTTGTCAAGGCCCTTATGCAAAACAAACCTAGTTTATATCTATCTTATTCAGAACACAATATGGTTACGATCTGATCTTTGCATGTATTTCCTAAGTACAATTGGCGTAGTCAGGTGATAAGTGCTGAACTTACCGGGAATCCTACCCACAGACCAGAACCATCCTTTCCGCCAAGCGCAGCATAAATGAAACCACATACGAGATTGCAAAGACCCACCGCTCCTATAAGTATGCCTACAATTCCGGCTGCCTTAGCCTTTCCTGGTTCGGCTTCACCTGTCATTATTCTCCAATACTTTCACTACAAAAAATTGCGATGAAGAATCTGGAAAGACTTGCAACGCTCCAATCTACAACCGTTTCACGTGGTCTCGATGCCAAACTAATTCTCTGCAAGGAAAATGGTAGTAAAAGACTCTTTGCCAAGGCCGTCCCCTGAGATTCTATTGAAAACTTTGTTTCCTAGGAACGAAGTAAATAATCGTCCAAACAAACCATCCCAACCAATGGTACAGTGCTAAGCTCTACAAAGCGTTAATGAAGCCCGATTCTCCAGTTTGGTTGATAAAAAGAACTCTTTTGTTTGAGCAAAATGATTATCGCTTGTCGTTCACATACTGTTTTCGTGGCTACATGGCAAAAACAAATGAAACGATCTGTGATTCTATTTGGTCGTTTGGTGAGACATCCTTTGCACGGGTCCAAAGTTAATTTTAGGGACAAATCAACGTCACTCTCAATCTCGGCACCCGCAGAGCACCGCGAGCATAATTGCTAAAAGCGGCAAGATAAACGCAATGCTTCCGCAAGGATGTTTGGCGCAACTAATATAAAATTTAAATACCGAAGAAAATAAGATATGCATCATTTCTCTAAGAGAATATTTGTTGAAAATATGGAGAATGAACTGAGTTGGCGACTAGCTGTGAGGTGCAGTCAAAATCTATTTTTGATGTCCTTGAACAATAAATAAATTTTCCAAGCGATAGAAAGCATTGGAGCTGCGTTGGTTGTTTTGATAGTATCAGAGAGTACCCATGGCGATCATCTGTTTTACACTATTTGTTCCAAAACCTTCATCAGCTTATAGGTTTTGGTGGTGTAAATGGAAGTTTACAGAAAAAAGAGTCGAGTCAAACACTTCGTGTCAACAAAGAAAAGCAGGTGTTTTCAAACGTTTGAAAGTAGACTCGGGAAAGAAAGATATTCAAACGGAAAATGGGAATATTTATGTTATTTTCAAAACAATAGGCACATCTAATAAGATTCTTTTCAATCAGACATAATGGCGAAATATGCTTTTTACATAGCAGTAGAGCAACTTTTGGCGCTGAGTAGTATTATTACTTCGTTCCTAAGAAACAAAGTTTTCAATAGAATCTCAGTAGCGCATAAATTGATTTGAAGTATTTTATTTTATGTTCTTAATTTATCAGTCCTTGCAAAGGAATTTTTGTCTAGAACTGAGGGAAGAAAAAAACCTGGAAAACTGGGTGATCAGTCAAGTTTGACTGATCGTGGTAATTCTTTTTGTTTGTTTGCGATCAGGTTCTATTTTTCTAATAAATTAAGTTTGGTTTGAAGTACTTGAACTCAAATGTCAAGGAGAAGCATATAAGCACCATCATAGCTCCGACTGTGTTAATAGGATTCAGATGTTTAAGTGAAAACCAAGAGCGAAAACAAAATAAAGGTTTACTCTTGAAGGTCAAACATTCACACCACCGAGTGGCAAAATGAGATAAAAAAACTTGAAAATCATATAAGAGTGACTGCTGAAGGCATTGCAAACCGTCTCGCAGAATCAGCGTGGTCTTTGTGCTGTTGCCATCGCAACTAATTGCCAAACAAATCAGTGTTTCATTATCTGCCTTTGAAAGAGTGGATTTAGGTAAGGCTTCTTTGTTTGTCTGGCCTCTACATTAGTTTTCTCAGGAGAGACAGTCCTTTCATTTTGACCCTGAATTGTGCGGTCCATCAGCAGAAAGATAGCTCCATCAGAAAGATACTTCCATCAAGATCGTAACTTCAATCCTACAAGGTCTCGTGTGTAAACTTGAAAGCGGCGGATCAGAATTGACATGTTTGCAATCTTACAACCCAAAGCCTTACTTTACTCGAAATTGCGCCGGCTAAGAATATGCACCGCTTTTTGAAGCAAAGTTTTTCATTGATTTTTCATTCGTTATTGTAAGCTAATAACCGTCAAGTCTACTGAGTTTAATTTGATTGGTTAACGTTTAATAGGGCGTTGCTCAAAGAGTTTTGTGCGTGTCCGAGTGCCACAAACCACGGGATAACTGCCACCTACTTTTCACCCAGAAAAAGAATTGTAGGTAGGATCTTAAGCTTGCTAATTGGCTAAATTTTTGATAACTTTTTGGCAATTCAAGGGTATAAGGGGGTCGGAAAAAGGGGAAAATGGAAACGAGGGTTTAAGTTTTAGTATCCGAGAGTCTTTACGTCAATTTATATGAAGTAATACTTGCTGTGTACCGTGTTAGCGTGTGTGTGTTTCTTGTTATCATCTTTTTATACAACTATGCTAACGAGGTAAGTATGAAAAGTATACACTAGTAAACAAAATGCTTCTACAAAAATAGAAAACATCTTTCAACCCCGAATAAATTCCTGGATTCGAGTCGGTTAATGTTGTCTTCACAGGGCCCAAGCGAGGAGCATAATCTGATCAGTCGTTTGGTATTCTATTCCGCGCCATTCCAGAGGGCCCGCTTAAATAAATCGCTTCGCCGCAAAAAGGTTGTTTCCTATTCAAGTTTTTCAGTGTAACGCCAAGAGTATAACCATCTTTCGTAAATGAAGCAATTTAAAATTTTCAGTCATTATACAAAAATTTTACCATTCTCTGAGAAATATTTCTTTCAGAGTTACCAGGTCGGCCTGGCCAAATTAGGTTAAATAACCGACGCGCCAATGGAACTTTTCACCGCCGTGAGTAAATTAACTCGGCATGTCAAAGTCCCACAGGGCACAAGAAGAATAAGAAGGAGTTTTGTTGGTCGCATTCCGGACAGACCGTCCTTTGAGTGCGCCGCTCTTCGATGAGCGTTACAGCAGACAGATAATTAAGTGCCGCCCCCATGATAAGCGCTGTATCTAAAGAATACGACACCTGTTAAACAAGTAGCCTGATGAGCGCGAGATTTCAATTGCAGATGGTTAACGAGGGTGACGCCCAAATCAACAAATGCGCATAGAAATGGAGCGAATAATCGAATAATGAAAGCGAATAATCTAATTATTTTAATGAAAATCTATTATTCACCCAAAACTGAACAACAAGGCAGGCTCTTGTTTTCACTCTATTTTGTTTCCAACTGCACACTGTTAGCTACTCACTCACTTTCTACCACACAATAGAGAGGGCTAGGGCGAGTCACGTAGTCAATCACGTTGCAGCGCTTGAAGTGGATCGTTGGTAAATTTGTACCAATAGAGGATATTACGGTCTGACGTATTTATTTTCGGAATTTCAGCAACATGCAGGTTTCTTGTAAAAGCTAAGAGCTTCATCGGAACAACCGTAAGCCAGGGCAAAGTACAAGCTTTTATCTCCCAACCAAACTAAGCAGTTATGAAAAAGTTCTAGGTTTCACTGCAGGAATTTAGTCATTATCATCTTTAGCCATATGTTGATTAATCAAATAACGCCGCCCTTGAATACGCACTACATTCGAATTGCCAAATAAATTTAGTAAAAACTTTTAAGATTTAGTTATTCTAGCAGGTGTTTGCTCTTCCTTCTTCTATACAAATAGCAAAATGGGATCAAAATTTTAGTTAGAAGAAATGGCCTCTTAATATTAAAATTCAAATATTCCAGCGTCTTCGCGTTAGTGATACACTGGTTTTCTTCTACCACACTGAGCATGCGTTCTACAATAAAAGACTTGCTTTAAATTTATACTCCATCGTCTGAGTGGGCCGTGTTATTCAGAATTTGCAAAAATGTCACACAAGTGTTCAGATATTTGGTTCCAGCGAATCATTTGGAAATCAAATATTAGATTCACCAGATTTGTTACTCTATTGTAGAATGTAAAAAGAACACTGATTGAACCGGTAAGAGTATTCCGTGTTTCCGCTAATTATTATTGGTGTTTTGAAAGTTTTCTAAGACTGTAGTCGGGAAGAATTAGAGAACCTTGGGAAGCATCGAGAGGAACTATGATTCGTGAGATGTAGGTAAATGTGTGAGCAGTTTAGGTCGGTTTTTGTTTGTCTTCTCTCAACAAAATAACTTGCTACACTTCTTTGTGTGTCCTGCATGGATGCTTATCAATTGTTCAAAAAATTGCGCATGTTTTTATGGATGGATCTCTCACAATGATTTTGAAAGGTAGACTAAGCATAAATGTCTGCTTTCTGCATAACTCTAAAGACTTATATGCGATGATATGATATGATAATGCCAAACTGACAGTAATGCATTCAACAACCAAGCGATCGATGCATTCGACGTTAGTCACTCAGAAATGAGATATTTAGTGGAGTTTCTGATAAGAATTCGTATCAAGCACGCACAAGAATCTTTCTTAATGCAGCGCTTCGAATCACTTGATGAACCAACCTCTTTCCCACGCATTCTGGCTGCATTTTTAAGCACTTTACAAACCAGGTGATGGATTTACTTATGGCGCCACGAATCACGACATCAGTGACATGTTTTTAATCCAACAACAAAATGGCAACCTCGTGAAGCTGCCTGAAATACAAAAGATACCAATCGAGCGATGGCATGGAACGGATAACGTGTAAGTTGTAAAATAGCTACAACAACTACCTCAAGCTAACTAACATAACAATGGTTTTTGTAAATACCAGCAAACAAGGAATTCACCATCTCCCATAGCACTTGTATCTATATTTTACTTAAACGATCTTAAAAAACAAAGGGTACTTCAAATGAATGTTGTGAAAGTAAGCAGAGGCGCACCAACTGAAACTCAAAGGTAACGCCAACGACCTATTTTGCGTCTAATCATAACCATTACAATATCCTCAAATGTGATTAGTGCATCACTGCTTCATTTTTCACTAATCATTCTGAACAGATGTAATCGGACAGTGTAATCAGACAGTTGGCTGTAATCGGACAGTTGAAGCAGCCAATTATACTATGTCCACTCAGCTAGATCCACCAATCACAGAATTGAGCACAATAACCATAGAAACAACCACTCATCAAAAAAAAACAAGACAATTTCCAAAATGGAGAATATTTAACCAAAGACATTGTCTCCACTGGAGATATTTGTTTTAGGCGTATTTGTTTTTTCGGAAATTGAAATGGTTATGATTAATTGGTAACAGGATTTCTTGTCGTCCAATTCTGTCAGTAATCATACTCGTGGTAAACAAATCAGACTCCCGCTTCGCGGTCGTCCGATTTTGTTAATCACTCGTATGATTACAGACCGAGTTGGACTCCTCTCGGTCCTATTATCATTATTAATTGGTCAACAGGGTAACAGGAATGTTACAGATCAATTAAAAAAAACATAGCGAAGACAACTGGAATTCTGGATTAGTTTTTACACAGTAAATCGAAGAAATTATCATATAAAAATAGTTAAACTAAAACAGCAATGGGAGGCGAACTCAACACTTGATGTTTATTGCTTTGGTGGCAACCCATAGTCAGGTGGGGGACCCCCGGCACCGGCTGGTGGCTGCATCATCACCTGTTGTTGGCCTGGGTATGGCTGCTGAGCAGGATAGCCCTGAGCTGTGGTTTGCTGTATCACCATGGGATACCCAGTAGGTTGCTGCATCACTACCACGTTGGGCTGCTGTGAAAACGAATTCGTGCATCAAGTCAGGAACTTACGGCCTCAATAACCTTCGAATGAAATACTTAGGCACGGAGGGGGGGGGGGGGGGGGGGGGGGGGGGGGGGCGTTTTTGACAAGAAAAGTAGTTTTTTTCAATCATGACACCCCGGCATGCCCTCGAGCCCTCATATGAGAGGAGAGCAATAGATCGGAAACACTGTACATAGAGGGTGATAATTTTATTTTTCTTCACTTCTTCGGAAGCGGGGATGAAGCTATTTTCAAATTAAACCATTTTTCTTTGTCTTTGGCTGTGCAATGTGGATGCATCGTTACGCCTACAGTTTCTTTTGGACGAATAGTTTTTGATTTTTCTATTTGTTCAACACTAGTGGAAACTGAACTGAGAAATGCCCGGCATGGAAACTAATGAAGTCCGGGTATCGAGTATCTTCTCCGTAAACGATGTTAACTTCCTTGTCGGTGAGAAAATACTGCCCTGACCTCTTCCCTTCCCTTGCTACAAACACTCGTGACCCGAAAATTACTATTATAATAGGATTGCGTAACATTCATTTCAGGATTACGTGACTTACAGCTGGCCTGGCACAGCAGGTTCCCATGCAACCAATGATTGAACCAGACAGGGTCAGGATGGCAGAAAAGGCACTCATAATCAGAATTGCTAGGAAGCAGCTCTCGATGACTCTGATGTCATCGCAGTTGTGCACTGTGAAAGGAAAAATGATGGATTTCATGAGCAGACAATGTCTCTGTATCCTACAAACTACAGTCGACACCCGTCATTGAGGATACCCTCGGGGGAAGATTTAGTGTCCGTAATAGCGAGAGTTCGTAATAGCGGGGTTCGAGAGGAAAGAAAAATAACAACATATGAAATAATATGTTAATACGCAAACATAAAGTTTCTAACGTGGCCTCACAAGCCAGAAAAATATCCGGCCGCAAGCAGGAAATTCTCACACTCGCACGTAATTGAAGAAAGGCTTTCACTCCTTTATCGTAATGTCGCTTTGTATTATGTGAGTCAGGATTTCGGACGAAATACTTAAGTGTCCGCTCTAGCAAGAAATAAATCAAGTGAAGTGTGGCGCTGGGGGGGCATGGAGGTATCCCCATTTCCGTAAGAGCGGTAGTCTGTACATCACATAATAACAGGAGTTTGTTTTATTCATCTCCCTATTCGTTTCGCCGGGGGACTGGCTCTTGTTCGCAATGGCGGGGTGTTTGTAATAGCGATGTTTCCGTAAGGCGAGAGTCGAATTTATATGCTATCGTTCTTTTAAATCATGTACAAAACGAATAGAAACACTAGCAGTCGCAACTGCGGTTGGAACAGTCGAGGCAAAAGTAGCAACAACGCATGCAAAAAAACACTTTTTCATAATCTTTGACTGCACGACCGACAATCCATCTTTGCTCCACAGACTTACCTGGCCATGGCTCATCCTTTTCGGTTTGACAATGGCATGTGCTTCCACTTTGATAGCAGTTCGTCTCAACCACCTTCCTTATGAAGTGCCAGATCACCCAGGCGATGAAGGCGATAATGATCTGGACAAGGCACACAATAAACCACAGGATGTTCATCACCAAGAAAAACACCATCTGGAAGGCATAAAATCACCATAAAAATCAAGTTATCGCCTCAATGTTGTGCACTGTCTTTGCTTTCTTTTCTGAGATGGGGAAATATGAAGGGGGTGACCAACACTCGCGCCACTCACTTCAGGCCTGGGGGATTAGTTAAGGGAAGTCATGGATGGGCTTTTCACGTTGTTGCCTCGTTAGTGGAAAAGAATTATTTTCACCATGCCTACCCACTTTGAGAGAGATGCAAGACCCTTAAGACCACACCCTGTTTTGCGGCATATTCCCCCTATCCCCCCCGCGACTCCTAGGTCTAGGGGAATGTATAAATGACAATGCGGAGGTGACAGTGTGTAATGAAAACGTGAGCATATTTACGCATCTATTGTTTTTCTACTTACCGCTGTTTTATTTTTCCTCAACCAAACGAGAATTCCGAGACCACAAATAACGGCAAGCTATGCAGTCAGAGAAAAAATATGTCAAAATTAACCTGTGCAGCAAAATACATCGGAAAACACAAAGGTACAAGGTAACTAATTACTGATCTGATCAACTGAAAAACGGATCAGACGAACCGGTGAACTTAAGAACTAATGAAAGTGTGAACGAAGTGTTTTTTTCTTGTCTGTTTGGAGCTATTTTTTTTATCCTAACCTTGTGAATGTTTCATTTCAGGGCCAGACGCGTTCGTGCGCTAGTCGGCTCCTTGTGACATGTAGTTGTCACTTGAAAATCGACAACTGCGATTAACGACCAATTGAATGTCCCCCTGAATTCTTCCTTGGTAGGTAGAAAAGTCCGGAGTCCAGTCGCCGCGACGGATTTTGAAAAATCGATCACTGTTGACTGGGGGTTTTTCTTCGTACCGGTAGCTTACTGATCTGAGGAAGATCCTGAAACTGGTTTAAACTTAAGCTTTTCAAAAATTATTCTTTACCCCATTAGGCCGCGTCGATTTTTTCGTCGGCCGCTGAGCGGTTTCCTTACCTCTGAAGTCAACTGATCTAGTTGATAAATTTTTCTCCTGCTCGCCGAGGCCAACACCACAACTCTTTCAAAACTCATTACTTTATACTACACTTGTGGCGATTGTGACTCCACTTTTTATGTAACTTTGAATAAAACAAACGAACCCCTCGGAGAAGACGACATTTTGTATCTTTATTATTTTGTTATTCCTTGCATAATATTAACTCGCCAAAAGTAATTAAAAACACAAACGAAACAATGGAAACAGATATTGCTGTTCGTTGAAAATTTTCCCCCACTGTAGCACTGCCTCTTATTACAGCATAAAGCACAAATTTTGCCATGAAACAAAACTGAGAATAACTCTTCTTGTCAGACCATGTAATGCATTTAAACAGAAGAACGTTACCAGGTGCTCTCCAGTGCTCAAAGAGGATTTAATTCCTCGTGAGCAAAATATGTCAAAGAAGAAGCTCATTTTTGTCCGCAGAAGGAAATCTAGTTTAACACAGTCTTAAGTAAGTGTACAAGAAGGCGAGAATTAACTCGACGTGTTATGTATAAACTAGGTTTATCCTCTCAGCTTTGCCAATTCGACTGCGACAGGTTGTTTACAGCCTATATAAATACTCGGGTTCCCAAGTCTATTCACCAATTGCTTGAGGTAATTATCAACATGGAATGACTGAACGTTTATGATTACAGATGTGATTACGGCCAGATGAATCGTACAGAGCCGCAAAATAGCGCAAAGTAATGAAAAACGATGCGGCATGGATGTTTAACCGCGTTTTTTTAGCCTTTTAAGATGTTTTGAGCTAAGTCACGCAGAGCCTGACTCGTAACTTGTCGTAATGTCTAATGTTTTACGACGCAAAGCTGGACTGCGTCTGTTTTCAGGATGTCAATCATTTTTTCATGCATTAATTCCGTGCAAAACTCATCGCTAGGAAATAAATTACTTGTAACGATTGTTACGGTGCGTCAATATTTATTTTGGTCTAGCTTTTCGAGACACAAAAAATAACAATAACGCCGATCTTTCAGTTATGATAGTAAAACAAAATCCTAACCCCTCACACTGGTCTTAGAAGTTTGGTGGAAATGAAACTTTGCTCAAAATAAATTTTGACTTTGCTGATTCATGAATATGAAAGCATTGCTGATTCAATCAGTGGCGCAATTGGAAAATCGAATCTTCCCTTGTTTAAATTTTATTTCGAATGTTTCGACCGGCTGCGACTTGCCATTGCATCATTCAGTACTCCATAATTTACCAAGACAGTTGCTCTGGCTGTGTGACTAAATTTTTTTTTTTTTTCGATTGATCATACTTTCTTCTAAGCGTTGGACAAACCAAGGATGCATTTAATAATCACGATTTCAAAGACTGTTAACCTCTAAGTCACTGTTGTAAAAATAGACATCAGTGAGGACTATCAAAGGCAAGGTGTTTCAAAAGACTTCTAAGCCGTTATTGTATCGCAATCAATTCCTCGGTTGGGGTTGGCTCTGAGCAGTATGAAGACAATTACACGATGACTTTCGATATGCTAAGACTACCACATCATATTTCGAGGTTTCACTCGGTTTTAAAACAACATTGGATATTGATTTTAGTTTAGAAATAAGGTCGAGGAAATGCGAGTGAGACGGACCAAAGTGGCCGGGTATTTTGAAGTTTAGCCGGAACGAAAACACCTGAACTGCAAAGCGGTTAACGAACGGGTTGATTGAAAGGTCCTGAAGCTGCTAAATTCACGCCTATCGTTTTCTGAATAGGTTTCGTTGAAAGGAATGCTGTTAAAAAATAATCAGCAAGGGTCACTACGTGGCTTATATCTTTAAAATCAACGCTTAACATGATATACGAAGAGTTATTTACCCCGATTCCAGACCACAGACCAGAACCTTCGGGTCCACCCTTGCTCAAGTAGATAAATCCACATATTAGCTGAATAAACGCTGATATTCCAACCAGAACGGAAATTATTCCTGCTGCCTTCGCCTTTCCTTCTTCGACAAGATCACCGTTCATTGCTGAAAATTTTCAATTAAGCACCTTTACAACAGCGAAACTTTCCAAGCAGCGACAGTGGGCCTCGTCGTGTTCGTCACACCTCGTCACAAGTACAAAGAAATTTTTGTTTTTTGCGATGTGATTTGCATGTAACCATGTCAACTTTTTTATTTAGAAATCATTTGCCGCATGCAAATATTGGTATCAAATTACGTAAAGGGTCATGCAATGTGAATGCCTGCCAAGAACCCGTGCACATCTATTTTAATTTCTTCTTGAAAGCAAGATATGCAAATTTTCGCTTCGTTTACCACACTGAAAGAAAAATAACCCGCAATTTTCCGTCTCCTATATGGATCCAAATGTTATCAAATTTCTTACTCGACCTTTACATTATTCTAAACATCTGCTTTACCCTTCCAAAAACAATAACCAGAGGAACATCTTTAACGATAACCGTTCTCAGAAAACTATGAATTTTAGATGTTCTTGTTAAGAAAGTCATCACCACCTGCTACACATTTTCCGTATCAATTATTTATCCAGCCATTCTAGTGAGGGCCTACAAGCTAAATTGTTTTCTAATACTTGCGCGAAACCCAGAACTTTCGCTCTGACGAAGGGCTGACGCTCGGAACTTCAGCTTCGAAACTCTTCATGGTGGCCAATTTACGTTATCAACTCAGTTGATAATACTAAATTACCCTGTTATATTTTCCTTCTAACGCAGCACCACAGTTTCTTCAGAAACTTACCCCCTTTATTTATTTTTTTTTGTGTCCGTCCGTTCAGTTACAATCAAATTTATTTTTGGTGATCCGTCATCTAAGATAAGAAGATAAGAAGCTCATTTGAAGCAGATGACTAAGTAGTCACATTGATTTAGTATGGCTTATCTCTCGGATCTGCGCATCATGAAGGAGAGAACCGCTGTCAGCACATCCTCTGGTGACTACTGAAGAAATGTAAAATGGTTTCCGTGCTTACATCAGGCCATGTAAACACGGAAACCATTTTACATTTCTTTTATAAAATAACTAATGAAAGAGGAACGAAAACCGTGTTTACATACGCTCATGTAAAATGGTTTTATGGCCAATCAGAGCGCGCGTACTATTTGAATTATTTTATAAAGAGGGCCTATTGCTCAGTTGGACACTCTGATTCCGCTGCACAAGGCAATCCTTGTAAAAAATAATTAATCCAAGAGACAAGCCTAGTCTTTCTTGGCCAAGAAATAAGATGTCGGTGTTGAATGTGAACGAAACCATTTTAGCTTGGATCGTATCCCTCGCAGTTTCCGCGCGTGGTCATCACGAAGTATCGCCTCGCTAGGAACTGTGGGAATCTTCGTTGTCAAAGGTGAATGGGAAATCCACACATGAAGTCATCCTATTAGTCTTGAATTGGCCTCACCCGAGTGAAAACCGTCACGTACAAAGTCCTACCTTCTGTTGAGCATAAGGTAAGAAAATGAAGCAATGTACTTTGATCAGAATCATAAGATATATTCCTTCTTGATAGACTGCACGAAAACATTTTCGAATGAGTGCGCACAACATGCATCGATCGCGCGCGGGAAATCTGAAAACTGGAATAATTTCAATCGAAACTAGCTAACGCGATTTCTTGTTTAAGGGGTTGTTTTAAATTGGTTTTATTGACTCATAATTGTCAAGGAATGGGCAGATCGCTCTCCTTAACGGTTTGAATTACCTGATTCAAGAATCCTGTCTGACTACAATTGCAGTTAATATTTATATTTCACTATCATTGAAGTTTGTGATTTCGTGTTTTCTTGTCCTTCATGCTTCTGGTACTAAATTTGCAGATTAAGGAGTATTGATGATACGAAATGGATACAGTCGGCGGTTTGTTTTACATGTAATGGATCTCGACTGATTTGACCGAGTTGCTCTTTAGAATTAACACGATGCAAAGCTGTCATCTCACATGTACTGTGTCATTACCAAATCAAACTTTAAACCGACCCCCGCTGTCGTTATCTGTCTAAATGAACTTAAATTGAAATTTTGAAACGTCTTTTTCTAAAATCTATCAGGGAAAATGCTCTCTAAGTTTGAAAATGGGCTGAATGCATCAATTGATAATTGATCATATTTTACATGGTTCTTTCTATGATTTCAACTTATTTGCAGTTCTAAAATCCAGTATACATTAAATAATTAATTATTGTTTTATGATTATTGAATTATGATTTTTTCAGCGGATAAAGCTATTTTTTGAGGTATGTTTGGACAATTTAACCATAATTTTGGTCAAAAATCTGTTACTTTTTATCTTGAATTCATTACAATATTCATAATTTGTGAACAATATTGATATACAGGAATATTGTATTTTAGATATTGAGAACACTTTATGATATATTTATTTATCAACAATATGAAATATTTGTGAAAAACTTTGGGAAATGTTAAAAAAAATTTAGGTCACATGTCATTGTTAACAAACACGAAAAACAGCTAAAAGTTATGGGGCTTAGGTGTAGGTTTCCTTTGCAAGAATAGAAGTGAAATAAGTTGTTATGCATGCTTTCTGTTGACATCATGGACTGCAACATGACTCAATAATGATATTGGCATAAGAAGTTTATTTAATGGTTTTCATTGATTGTAAATCTTTCCACCAAGCTATTTTAATAATTCAGGCCCAACCTTATTTATTTCCTCTGAAAGTAGACTAATGTAACTGAGATTACTTAAGTTTTGTCAATCTATTTGTGAAAAAAAAGGATTCTGTAAATTGTTTGCATGGAGAGCTGTTTGTTCATAATAAGATTTTCCATTTTTTTTTCAATGTACTGGTAACATTTTTTTGATATTGCCTTGATATTACTAAATTTCAAGATAACATTCAAAGTTTTAAATTCAAAAATATATTTTGACACAATTTCTATGTATCAAAGATAAAGGGACATAAGGTTAGTTTTGTAGATTTTGCATCAATTACTTGATTACTAAACATTTGAACGTGTCCTTTAGTAGCATGTCGTAATGATGTGGGATATTGATCAAATGAAGCCTTTAAGTGCTACTGTGGTTCTTTCTTTATTCACTCCAAGCTTTCACCGTTCTGATGATGCCGTAGAACGGCGAAAGCTCGGAGTGAATAAAGAAAGAACCACAGTACCACTTAAATACTTGATTACTGTTTTTAAATTAGGTAGGTCTATCAATGTTAAAACCATTCCTCTTCATGAATTTTGAGAGTATTATTTTTTTAGCTTATTATATTCTTGAAAAAAGGTAATTCAGTTTCTTATTGTACTTTCTAAGATGGCTCCTGTTTTTTACATGTTTACACAAAAGAACACAGAGATTCAATCTTCAAGAATGTTGACCTTTTGGAAGGTTACACCTCAAGATGACCATTTCAATTTATATAATCTATTGAGACCAACATAAACAAACTCAACAGATTAAGTTATCATATGACCTGTATCTTATTGGTTGTGTTCAACACCTCACTTCTCGAGCTTGTCTTCTATTAGGGAAAATTTTTACTTGAGAGACTAATTCATGGTATGATCTCAGCCTTATTATGTCAGTAGCCTCATTTTTTTAATGAATTTTTACAGTGAAGTATTATTTATGCTGTTTAGAGGAACAAATTAGAATTTGTTTCTATCGTGCAATTTTCAAAATGAAGAATCGATTCATTAATTTCCTGTTTATTGACATTTACATGTAGGCCTTTCCAATTTGAAGCAATTATTGTTGACAATCTTTATTTCATTTATATTTTCATGTTTCTTTTCTAAAGGAATTTAAAGCCATGGCCAACTACGTAGGTTTTGCTAATTTACCAAATCAAGTCCATAGAAAATCCGTCAAGAAAGGGTTTGAGTTCACTTTGATGGTTGTGGGTAAGCACCTTCACTTGTTCTCTTCTAATAATGTTAACCTGTTGAATGAATAGGATTTTTTCATTTCTCCTAAACTGATACAAGTTTCATTATTCAATCCTTATAGAAGCTTTTAAATTTTATCTTTGGGTCTCTGATGAACCAAATTGAAATTTTTGAACTACTGGAATTTTTATGGGCATTTTCAGTTTTGTTGACCTCAGTGGACAAGTTTCAATTTGTTGCCAAAAAATTGGCATAAGGAAATAAACGAACAACATTCAGCAAATTAACAAAGATGAATCTTTTGTTAGAAGGAAATTATTGGGGTTATTTAATATGTCACACATAGAAAATACCCTACAAACAAAGTGTGGGATTAGAGACTGATGGCAAATGTGATATGATGAGAGTGATGTGTAATTGTAGTTATTCATTCATTTTTCATACAAATTCTGTCCCTGTATATGCACAGTCTGAGTGGGAGCTGATGTTGCAGGCAGGATAAATAACTGGTTGAGTTTCCTATGCCTGCAACATATATAGTATCTTGGAATAAATACAACAGCTTCAGAGTAGTTTATTTCCGATATGATTTTCATGGAAATAAATGTTATAAACCTGGTGCTAAAATCTTAGGGTCCATTCTACCCCTTTGATAATTGTTTAATTTGTTACCCTCGCATTACAGGTGAATCAGGGCTGGGGAAGTCAACACTCGTCAACAGTTTGTTTTTAACAGACCTTTATGCTGACAGGAAACTACCCAAAGCTGCTGGTGAGGCCTGTGTGACCTAAATTTTTAATTTCATACTATTTTTTTTCAAAATCTTTGGGCCTCAAGAAAATTTAGTTTTCACATATTATTGACTGGCCTGACTCTAAAACCTAATATAATATCTATCATGCATGCACAATGATTGGTCAATCTAGCAAGCTGTATTTCTCTTTATGGCCCTCTAAATTAAAAAGTTTGTTTTAATTGAAATCTTCTTCCTCCATTTGAACTCAGATAAATGATAAATATCTTATTAACCTCAATTTCTTGGTCTGTTCTGTAAATTATGGAACCTAACTTTTTCCACTTGGATTTATGGCCAGTGCGCTTCACACTTCGACCATAGATCCCAGGGGGAAAAACTTGAACTGTAACTTACAGTACTGACCTCAAAGTCAGTTGTTAAGAGGTACATGTATTAAATTTGCAGATTGTGTAAAAAGAACAGTGAAGATTGAGACATCAACCGT